ATCATTTAATTTTTTAAGTGCTGTGTAATGAAAGTTTTTGTGTAATGAAAGTTTTTAAGTATTACCATGGGGTTTTTAATGGTATCTCTACAAGATGATGAGTATCTGTCCTAGGGCTGGTTTTCCAGATACTTGAAGTTATTTTTAGACATGAGGACATGGCTATTGACTCTAATTTTTAAGTTCCTTCAGAACAAGGATGGTGAAGACCATTTCAGTAACTTCATTTAGTTCATTTTAGTTTAAAGGCAGCAGTAGAAAGAATATTCTTCTATAAATGAACGTTAAAACATCGCCTTAACTAAATGCTTGGAAAAATGAATGCATGTGTGAAACAAGATAAAGTGCATGTTCTCTGAAACTTTTCTCAGGTCAGTGTTTATGAACATCACGCTGACTTACTCCTCCAACCTGTCTTGGTTAGTTAACAGGGCAAAACTCTTTATAATCTCTTGTTCCTTTACTTTGTTGGAAGATAACTGCTTTGTTTTAGTAATAAACAAATACGGATATAGGACATATTTTCTAAAGTATGAGCTTGTGGGCTGTAATATCTGTAGAGTGGCTGTTCAGTGGAACAGTCTAGCAAAGGAGCAAGTGTGATGTGGTGGTTAATGCAGTAAGATGGTGGTGAGGCTCCCCATACTAACTATGGCTTGGAATAACTTTTTTTTTAACCTTTTCTTGCTTTTCTGTGCTGCTCTCTCTGCTATGATCTTCATGCTTGAGGAGGGCATGTGTGAGGAAAGAGGGCTTTTTCCTGCTGCCTTAAAGGGAAGTATGACAGTGCCATCATCCTGGCTGCACAGGAGGTTATTATTAACGTGATTGCTCTTGTGGGCTTTGTAATTCTCATCAGCCTTAGGACTGATCTGCAGGAAACCCAAAGTCATGCCTGACTGTCAGCCTCCATCTGCTACTTCAGCATGGCATGAACTCCTCTGAGACAGCAAACAGTTGTAACCTGGTGCCTCCTTTAGTTGAAAAATGAGTAAAAGCCTTGGAAACCCAGAGGGGTTGATGCTGGAAGCATTTATCCCATTTATATGACCAGCTGGCTGTACATACACCACTTTTAAATGTAGCCTGCTTTCTCTATGCTCTGTTATATTTCTTTTCTTTCATGAAGGAATTGAATTAGTCATTTCTCCCCTACTTTATTCTTCCTTTCCTGGTGTTGCTTGTGTTGCAGAATAGTGCATGTTCCAGGAAGAACCTAGATTCCTGAGACCAAAACATCAGGTCAGAGCCCATTTTAGGCTGGAAAGGAGGATTCAATATCAGATCAAATCAGTTTGGGATGTGGGTCATCAAGGACCATCATCATTTAGTTCATAATTTTCAAAAGTCATAGTAAGGAGAAACATGTTGCCAGCCTAAATGTGCACACAATTCTCAGGGTTAATAAATTAAAAATGTAAATGCTTTTTCTTTTTGTAAAATTTTTTGATCCAGAAAACAATAATGTTACGGAGGATGCTGATTTAAGTAAATAAAATTTAAGAAAAAGGTCTCATGAATATAAGCAAAATCAGGAAAGGCAGTATCGAATTAGCAGGGATGTGTTTTAAGTCACAATCAAGTGTATTGGACACTACCACTCTAGTTTCACTAAGTGATTGATTTAGGTGGCCAGGTTCTCCCTGTCACCAGATCGGTTTTTAATGTTCTTATCTGCTGTTTTACAGCAATAAAAAGCGCGTGGTGTCCTGCCCGTCAGTGCTTTGCAATTATTTAAAACATAAAAGCCAGTAAAAATTGGAGTAAATTTACCCTTTTTACTGTGCGGTAGCTCTCTGTTTTGGCTGTTACCTCAATATCCATCTCCTGGTGCTTTGAAAGGCAAAACAAAGCAAAGTGGGACTCCCAGTGTGTGTCTGTGCAAATCTGTACGGATTTAAAGGAGTCAGGTTTAGGGTGAGCATGGACCTGTGCTCGCCTGTCCATCCTGCCTGAGACCTCTGTAGGCTCCCAGTTTGCTGAAGCGCACCAGTATCATAAGTTCCTAAAGAAACATCACTTGTTCTCTCTGAGGTTATCCAGCTATGTTGAACTAGTAGCCACAAATCTGGCTTTGAGGTTGCCTTTGTATGGACTGGAAGGCAGCAGAGTCATCCATGTTGGGACCCCATGGAGGAGGACTTCCATGGAGGAAGACGTGTTGGACACCTAGGGCTTGCTGGCAGTCCCTTCCTGGTAATGCCCACACCAGGATGTGTGCTACAACCAGGCAGTGTCTCAAGTTCCCTCAGAGAACAAAAAACATGTATGTCAAAATCAACACTGAATTGGCAATGAATTTGCAGATAGTTGGAAACCAGTGCCACCAGTACTTATGGACACAGACAGGACACAGGCTTGGTATGTGAGAAAAAGGATCAAGCAGGAGTGTTCCAGCTGCCCTGAGGTATTCTGAGGAGACTACATTCCTGATCTCTGAGTATCTTTTCCTGAAATATGGTGGCTTGTGACATTCCTTGATGGTCACAGCATGGTCTTCCACGGTCAGTCCTGAAACTGGACAATGTCTTTTAAGTCTGTGCCAGAGACATGAAGGATTTGCAGCCACTTCCTGCTTATCTAACCAGGTATAGGTGGATACTAGGATTGATTCATCGGTTGGTTGGTTTTTAAGCCTTTTCTTCCAAAGGGAGTACTGTCCCTCCAGTTCTGGTTGCCAGCAGCTCTCTTATCTCCTTGTGGAAAGAGAGAGAGAGTGTGGGTGTTCTGCTGTGGGATTCTGCTGGACCCTGGAGAGCAGGCTCTTGATGCTCTTACCGAGAGCCCTGGGGTGGAGCTCCATATTCCACAGCCATACATATTGCTTTGGTATGGTTCTGTGGTTCTTCAGTGAGAAAGCTGGGGTTTTTTTGTCTCCTGCTGCCCTCCAGGCCCCTATTCTGTCACATCTTGCTGTCCCCAACAGTTTTTAATGCCCCAGACCTATGGTGCACACAAGGAGAGCAAGAGCAGGGTCCCAAGGGTGTTACAGGCAGTGCAGTTACTTATTACTGTATATGTTGATGTTTTTCCTGTTTTTATTTTAAAACGAGGTGGTATGAAACAATAAGCTTGGGGTTTAAAGCTAATTAAAATCACCATGGCTGAAGTGCTTCAAAGAAATACAGGGCAAAGCTATGCAATGATGGTCATCCTCTTTCCTGCCTCGAAACCCTGCCCGCAACCAAATGGTCACCGTTGTCCTGTGCATCAACCTTTACTCTGTTATCAATCTGCTGCTCCAGAGAACTTGCCATCACAAATCCATTACAGGTCGGGATCTGAAACCACAGCCTCCACTCTCTCTGCATTTATTTTTTTTAAGATAGATCCTGCCTGGTACTATGTGCTGAAATGTAGACATTGCAGCAGCACTTTGGTAGCACAGAGAATAAACCTAGAGGACTAGCTGAGTGTTGCGGGGTGGCTGGTTGGTTTTGATTTTGCCTGAATAGGTGTTAATTTGTGCTTGTAACACCATGCCAGAACTCAACATGATATTACCCAGGCTTATTTCCTTCTTTTATAATTAAATTCCTCTAATGTTCCATTAAATGTTCTAATGGAGGTTTCCCATAAGCATCTTTCTTTTTTTTTTCCAGATGTTTCTGGCTCTTAAAATCAGAGTTTGTCCGTGTTGAAGTAGCATTAGTTTAGTTCTTTCACGGTAAGCAGTGCTAAGAGCAAGTGTAGTTATGGTGTGTAAAAGTCGGCATTTACTGGGTAAAATTGGTGTAACTTGACGCTGTCCTGCATGACATCCTTGTCTCTAAATTGGAGAAACGTGGATGGACCACTTGGTGGATAAGGAATTGGCTGGATGGCTGCACTCAAAGAGTGAAGGTCAATAGCTCGATGTCCAAGTGGGAACCAGTGATGAGTAGCATTCCTCAGGCATCGGTACTGGGGCCTGTGCTGTTTAACATCTTTGTTGGGGACATGGACAGTGGGATTGAGTGCACCCTCAGCAAGTTTGCTGATGACACCAAGCTGTGTGGAGCCATTGACACGCTGTAGGGAAGGGATGCCATCAAGAGGGACCTGGGCAGGCTTGAGAGGCAGGACCATGCAAACCTCCTGAAGTTCAACATGGGCAAGTACAAGGTCCTGTACCTCAGACACGGCAAGCCCAGGCACAAATACAGGTTGGGTGGAGAATGGATGGTGACCAGTGCTGAGCAGTCCTGTGGTGACGGGCTGAGAGACTTGGGGTTGTTCAGCCTGGAGAAGAGAAGGCTCCGGGAAGGCCTTCGAGCAGCCTTCCAGTACCTAAAGTGGGCCAACGGGAAAGTTGGGGTGGGACTCTTTATCAGGGAGTGGAGCAATAAGACGAGAGGTAACAGTTTTAAACTGAAAGAGGGAAGATTTAGATGAGATATTAGGAAGAAATTCTTTGCTGTGAGGGGGGTGAGGCACTGGAACAGGTTGCCCAGGGAAGCTGTGGCTGCCCCATCCCTGGAGGGGTTCAAGGCCAGGCTGGATGGGGCTTTGAGCAACCTGGTCTGGTGGGTGGTGTCCCTGCCCATGGCAGGGGGGTTGGAACTAGACCTTTAAGGTCCCTTCCAACTCTAACCGTTCTATGATTCTAATGAGCTTAAGCGTGCTGCCAGTGAACCTGTGAAACCATGTGGTCATATGTGCTGCCCATGGTTTAGTTCAGGGCTGGTGGTGGCTGTGGTGGTGTTGCATGCAAATGGTGGTGGTATAAACTGCAGTTTGTCACACACTCTCACTTGTGTTCTGTGGCAGTTTGAGAATTTAAGGATCCTTCACACTGATTTCCAGTCACAGCTATTTCACAGGAGTTTTCTTGTTGAATGTCAGTACTCTCATGAGCTGTGAGATTGGGAAGTAGAAACAAAATCAGTCTGTTCTGCAAAACTCCCTGTTTGAGCCTACTTAATGGTTACAAGCCCTTGATCAGAAACCATATTTCTAAAAATCGTGGTGACAGGGTTGTTATCTTATTTTCCATTCTGTATGTTTCTGTTTCTTTTCAGGGAAGGATCATGTTTGCAGATTTATTGGCTGTGGAAGGAATGAAAAATTTAATTACGTCGTCATGCAGCTTCAGGTGAGTTCTGTGCTTCTCCTCTCCTCCCTTTCCCATGGAGATGGCATCATAGCAAAGGATTTACAGTGAGAGAATAAGGCCAAACGCTGATGTAGAGACTTTGTGGTACATCAAAAGTGGATGGAATGGGAGACAGTGAGAAGGGGTGGTGTTGCTGTGATATCCCTTGGGGTAGCTCCAGTTGTCAAGATGTGCTAAAATATTTCATAGCTCTGCTTTTCTGCCTAAGTTGGCTTTCTGACAGTTTTCTGAGAAAGCACTCAAATCAGAACACTCGCAAGAGCTACCCACAGTGTTATGCAGCAGCAGCAGCTGTTTGAAATATCTCCTGCTGAGCTCAGTGATGCAGCATTCAAAATATGTGTCTTATACCAGGGCTCAGAGAGTGGTGGGAGCCAGTGGTGTCACACCAGCAGCACGGCCCTCTCTATGAAAGGGAGTAATCTCTGGCTCCCCCATCTCTACCAAGCTCAGCAGTAGCTTGGCTTCCACTGTGAAAATGTGAGTATGATTCTTGAAAGGGCTAAACTGGAGCACAAGTCTTATGAGGAGAGGCTGAGGGAGCTGGGGGTGCTCAGCCTGGAGAAAATGAGGCTGAGGGGAGACCTTATCGCTCTCTACAACTCCCTGAAAGGAGGGTGTAGCTGGGGGGGTTTGGTCTTTTCTCCCAAGGAACAGGCAACAGGACAAGACAAAAGTTGCACCAGGGAAGATTCAGATCGGATATTAGGAAAAATTTTCACACTGCAAGCATATTAAGCATTGGAATGGGCTCAACAGGACAAGACGAAATGATCTCAAGTTGCACCAGGGAAGATTCAGATTGGCAAAAGTTGCACCAGGGAAGATTCAGATCGGATATTAGGAAAAATTTTCACACTGCAAGCATATTAAGCATTGGAATGGGCTGCCCAGGGAAGCGGTTGAGGCACCGTCCCTGGAGGTTTTCAAAAGACGGGTTGACATAGCGCTTAGAGACATAGTTTAGTAATGTGGGGGTTCTTTTTGTATGGTTTTCTTTTGTGGTTTTTTTAATCAGACTTAGGTTGATGGTTGGACTAGATGATTTTAAAGGTGCCTTCCAGCCTAGAGGATTCTATGATTCAAATCTGGAGCTCATGGAAGAACAAGGCTTCTCACCCCCCAATCCTCTCCTTAACAAGCCTGATGAAGATGACTATACCATGGAAAAAAAACGTCTTTGCACAGAACCTCTTACTTTCTAGCCTGTTCTTGACTATGTAGCTGAACTTGTAGAGTAGGCAGAGCTAAAAATTGTTTCATTGTTTGCAAATGATGACTTTTTAAGTTGTTGGGGAAAGGAATTGGGGCAAAAAGGGTTGGCAAGGAGCAATTTTTGAGAGCTTTTTGAAACCGGGCAGAGCCATGCTGGGAGCCAGCAGCTTGAGGGCCGGGCCACTGAGGGGGCCTGGTCGGGCTCAGCACCCGTAACAGCAGGTTTACATGAGGTGTAACCGCCCTAACAGTCATTCGCTGAGGAGACCAGCCTCCAGTGTGGTAAATCTGCACCAGGGGAGGGAATAAAGGCAAAAAAGGGCCGGCGCAGTATGGTAAATCTGCACCAAGGGAGGGAATAAAGGCAAAAAAGGGCCGGCAAGGAGCATTTTTGAGGGCTTTTTGAAGCCGGGAAGAGCGGCGGCCTGTGCCGGGAGCTGGCAGCCTGTGGCCAGGCCGCTGAGCGAGGCCCAGCACCCCCAGCAGTAGGTTTAATCGAGGTGTAACTGCGCTGGGACCACTCCCTCCCATAAAGGGGGCTTTTCAGTAGCTTTCAGGATATCCCTGCTGCCTCTAGTAAGCTGTCACAAGAGTTAAAAAATACAAACACTAGAGAAGTAGTTTAGTCTTGCTTTGTTCATGCTAAAGAGCAACCCTGGGCTGGTTGTGGTGGCTTGACTGTCCTGGATTGAAACGTGGGTCAAACCAGCTTCAGAGACCAGTCATATGCTAAAAGAGCCAGTTGCAGTTGGCCCCTTAATGTCTGTAGATAACTTGAGAACTGGAAAGGGGTGGATAAGTAGATGGCATTTCACTGGAAGTGCTTGGAATATTTTCTATATCTTCTGTTGTGCCTTTTGTTTGAATACATCTGGACTTGTATTATAAGCATGTATGTCTTTGCAGAAGCAGAATCATGAGATTCTATAGTATAGTGATAATTAGCGTGTCCCTGTAACTTTTGTTCTTGATGCATGATCTCTGAAGTAGCGGACTCACTCATGATGTTTTTGATCAGTTGATAAATGCATTAGTTCTGTAGATTAGAGGGGTACACTGCCATAGAATATACTCATTTTATCACCTTTTTCTTTACAAAAATAAAGAGGTATACATAAAACTGAGATGATAGAGATCAAAGAATACTGTGATTCTTCTGGTGTTTAGTCTGTCCTTTTTTTTTTTGCCTAAATTTTCTTTATTTCCACGTATAGCTGGTACAACAAATTTAATTAACTGGAGGTAAATTACCAGGTTTTTTAATAAGTATTTTTTAAGTCAGCGGAAAAGTCCTCCTCTCCTGACTTTTGGGGATGGTTCTCTTGATTGACAGCTTTCCCCGTTGTGGCATTGCCACAATGATGCTGACTTGAGCCAGATGGTTGTGTGCTAGAGTTTCTGATGAAACTGCTTCTGTGAGCTGTAATATATAGTGGCTTCATGACCCGCTTATCATACCTGTACTGCTTTAATCTTTAGATGGCTCAGAGAACAGTCAAAGGTTGTTCTTAACCAGACTATATAGAAGCTGATTTTTAACAGTAAGGAGATGCAGTTGGCCTTTTTCCCAAACAGCACATCAGCTGCTTTTCCCAGCTAATGGTCTGGTATCTTCTTATCAGCAAATACATCACTTAAAAGCCAAAAGGAAGTCTTGGAAAATCATACACAAGAAATAAAGCAGATGTAAGGTTAGCACCTGTCTGATTAGCATTTCTGCTTTTTTGGGGGATGCACATTAGAATTTGCAGCTGTGAAATGCTATGCTTTAATGTCATGGTTTAAATGTTTTATTGATTGTTTCAGGGCCGAAATCTTGCAGATCTTAGAAGGAGTCAGCCTCGAGGGACTTTCACACTGAGCACAACGCTGCGATTAGCCGCTGAGCGAGGCCCAGCACCCCCAGCAGTAGGTTTAATCGAGGTGTAACTGCGCTGGGACCACTCCCTCCCATAAAGGGGGCTTTTCAGTAGCTTTCAGGATATCCCTGCTGCCTCTAGTAAGCTGTCACAAGAGTTAAAAAATACAAACACTAGAGAAGTAGTTTAGTCTTGCTTTGTTCATGCTAAAGAGCAACCCTGGGCTGGTTGTGGTGGCTTGACTGTCCTGGATTGAAACGTGGGTCAAACCAGCTTCAGAGACCAGTCATATGCTAAAAGAGCCAGTTGCAGTTGGCCCCTTAATGTCTGTAGATAACTTGAGAACTGGAAAGGGGTGGATAAGTAGATGGCATTTCACTGGAAGTGCTTGGAATATTTTCTATATCTTCTGTTGTGCCTTTTGTTTGAATACATCTGGACTTGTATTATAAGCATGTATGTCTTTGCAGAAGCAGAATCATGAGATTCTATAGTATAGTGATAATTAGCGTGTCCCTGTAACTTTTGTTCTTGATGCATGATCTCTGAAGTAGCGGACTCACTCATGATGTTTTTGATCAGTTGATAAATGCATTAGTTCTGTAGATTAGAGGGGTACACTGCCATAGAATATACTCATTTTATCACCTTTTTCTTTACAAAAATAAAGAGGTATACATAAAACTGAGATGATAGAGATCAAAGAATACTGTGATTCTTCTGGTGTTTAGTCTGTCCTTTTTTTTTTTGCCTAAATTTTCTTTATTTCCACGTATAGCTGGTACAACAAATTTAATTAACTGGAGGTAAATTACCAGGTTTTTTAATAAGTATTTTTTAAGTCAGCGGAAAAGTCCTCCTCTCCTGACTTTTGGGGATGGTTCTCTTGATTGACAGCTTTCCCCGTTGTGGCATTGCCACAATGATGCTGACTTGAGCCAGATGGTTGTGTGCTAGAGTTTCTGATGAAACTGCTTCTGTGAGCTGTAATATATAGTGGCTTCATGACCCGCTTATCATACCTGTACTGCTTTAATCTTTAGATGGCTCAGAGAACAGTCAAAGGTTGTTCTTAACCAGACTATATAGAAGCTGATTTTTAACAGTAAGGAGATGCAGTTGGCCTTTTTCCCAAACAGCACATCAGCTGCTTTTCCCAGCTAATGGTCTGGTATCTTCTTATCAGCAAATACATCACTTAAAAGCCAAAAGGAAGTCTTGGAAAATCATACACAAGAAATAAAGCAGATGTAAGGTTAGCACCTGTCTGATTAGCATTTCTGCTTTTTTGGGGGATGCACATTAGAATTTGCAGCTGTGAAATGCTATGCTTTAATGTCATGGTTTAAATGTTTTATTGATTGTTTCAGGGCCGAAATCTTGCAGATCTTAGAAGGAGTCAGCCTCGAGGGACTTTCACACTGAGCACAACGCTGCGATTAGGCAAACAAATTCTGGAATCAATAGAAGCCATTCACTCTGTGGGATTTCTGCATCGTGACATCAAGCCTGTATGTTGTTTTGAAAATTTTTCTTTTGGCTGGTTGTCTGTCTGTTCTGCTTGAGCCAATAAAGATAGTCTGAATATGGGCAGATCTCATTGGAGACACTTAGGCCTCCTTGCACACTCCTTCTGTCTGACACATTGGCTATTTTCTATAAGTACAGAATATTAATATAGTTATTGTCATTCCTTTAAGGGCAGAGTAAACTCATTTTTATTAGCATAGGCTACTCCATAGTGGGTTAGTAACTGTCAGTTGTACTTGTGCCAGTCAAGATCACATGACAAAGCAATCTAATTTTGAACCATTTGGAGTCCAAACAATTATTACTATAAAAGAGGTTCAGAAAGTAAGTCTTGCTCTCTGACCCATCGCTTGAATAAATGCTATTTCATGTTTTGACTTAGCTAAATAATCTTCTTAAACTTTTCTGAGCAATTGGCATTAAAAAAAAAAATTGAAGTATAGTTTCCAGTATTGGAAACACAGTCATCTGCCTGGGTGAGGTACAATAATTCCAAGTCTCACTGTAGGAGTCAGTCTTTTTTCTGTAGTTCTTCACTGCTTGATCTGAACACTACACCATCCCTGAGACCATCTTCCTTCTTGCAAAATCATGTGCTGCTTCTAAAATCAGCTGGTTTTGGTCAGATTCAGCTGAAAATCAGTCACTAATGTGACTGGCCACAAATCCTTTATCGGCCATCCATTATGGTAAAGGCTATAATTTAAGATGGGGGTTAAAAAAAGGGCTGCTTCATTTGCTTGTTGTCGTTTTATTTACTAGGAACCAAAATCCATTGTTTTTTAGATGTCTGAATGTTCAGATAAATTTAGGTAATGCAATAGAGTGGATGGAGATTAAGGGAGTTAGGGCAGAATAGTGCATGCTGGCAGCTGAACCACGAACAGAAGCATTTGTCTACAATAACTCCAGCCTGTTATGCAAGTGACAGAGCTCTCGCTGCAGAGCTAGTGGTGTTAAATGTAGCTCTTCCTCATAGCAGCTGAAATTTAGCTAAGCTAATGTGAATTTTAGTTATTTTGAGACTCCACAGTCTCTTAATCTGCAAAGTGAACTTCTTAATGTCGCAGTGCTTCTCTCTCTAGTCATGATGTTTAAGACGCATCTTAAAATTCTTCTCATTGACTTACGTTTCCACCAGAGGAATGTGGGTCTGTATGGCAAAGTTCTGTTAACAAATGGCCACTCTTACCCAAGTTGCTGGTATCAATTTGATTCTTTTCTTTCTTTTTCTAGTCCAATTTTGCCATGGGCCGCTTACCTTCAACATACAGGAAGTGTTACATGTTAGACTTTGGTCTGGCGCGTCAGTATACCAACACTACTGGTGAAGTCCGGCCAGTAAGTAAATTTTAAGTATTTTTTTTCCCCCCGAGTTTTGCAACTGCTTAGGCATGGAAAGGTTTTGTGATTTTGTTTGATTTGTGGTTGTTATGCTTGGTGATTTTATTGGACTGCGTTTTCTGCAAGGTGAGAAGCAGCAGGTGACTTCAACTGAGTTGGGAATCTAAGAAGGGATGCTTGCTTTTGTCTTACAAGGTGTGTAGCTTTTTAATTATTTTTTTTTGTTGTTCCTTTAGGATAATCATATTTTCCACAGCCTTGGAATACTTTACTGAGTACATTGTGGCCGAGCAAAGAAGGATGAGCCCAATGCTGGCCATGTAACTTCTGTAGTCCCAGAGTATTGGCCTAGTTCAGTTCTCTGTGATCTGGGGTCACTCATAAGGATGGTTTTATGTGTATTGCCCCCGTCCAGATTTCTTAGCAAGAGTATTTCAGCGTGCCTGCTGGAGGGGAGGTAAGGCCAGGGGGCCTAACTTTCACCACTTCTGTTTTATCTTCAGTCCTTTTACCAGCACTGTGTTATTTGGGGTCACTCATAAGGATGTGTTAAGCTTCAGATGCTCTAGGTATCAGTCAGAGCATTCCTAGATCGATTTCAGAACGCAGCACAAGCAGGGAGGGCTCAGAACAATCTCTCTGTTTATCATCCTAGGCTTACACCTTTTGGTCTGCACATTTTCTCCATCTGCAAGATAATTGTTGTTCCAGAACATCTTGACAATGTGAGAGCTAAATTCAGAGACTGTAGTGCAGGATATGGCTGGGGACTGGGAAGAAAGTAAAGATCAGTGAGCAGATTTTGTGTCTTTGGCAGATGAACACAGCTGGAGGATTTTTCTTCTGTTTTTTCTTCTTCTTTTTTTTTTTGTAAGTATTTTCACTTGGACATAGCAAGCTTTTTCTATTTAGCTGTAGATGGGAGCAGTTCCTAAGGTTGTGTCTGCGTCTTGGTCTTGAAAAGAAACACACTATGTGCTACTGGTCTTCCTTGTCAGAGCTGTGTAGTTTGGGGATAACCCTTTTCCAGACTGCCCTTTTCAAAATGCAGCCCCACTCCTTTCCTCTTTCTGCAGTCAAAATTCAAGCTTATTATGGATTGAAATTGGCATTTGGTTTTCTGCAAAATTTCTTCATTGCTTCAGTGAAACGAACTATGTTTTATGCCTGTATTTCAAGTACCATTGTTTGAACGCTGTTCTCTCTTTACAATTAAAGAAACTATTTTTTCCAGATGTCTCTTCTTTTGGATCCTCTCTTTTCTCCCTTTCTCTCACTAATTTAAAATTACTTTGCTTTTATTTTGCTACATTGTTAGAGAGTACTCCCATGCCCTGGTTTTGCAAACAGCACGACATCCAAACTTGACCTTTTTCAGAAGAAAAGATACTTCAACTGTGTCATGAGCTGTGTCCTGCTTGGGTTGCTGTGGGTGAGGTGGGGCTTGGTAAGGACACAAGGGTCATTGGGGTCATTCTGATGGTTGGTTGGTTGCTTGCCACAGCTGGGCCTTGTAGAAGGACTAATGACACATAATCTTTTCCTGACAAAAAGACTCAGGGATCACCTGGGGGGTGGGAATATCTTCTGCTGAGAGTGGTAAAAAGTCTCAATTAGTTTGGGATGTGGGAAGATCATAGGAGCAGAGTCTTATATCCCTACTGTACCTATTCTCCCATGCCACACTTCGGGTGGTGAGGCTTTTTGACAAAAATGATATAATAAAAAATACATAAATATTTACTTGAGTCCCTTTTAACATTATGTTATAGTCATTGGGCTGTTCGATCCTTTTGTGTCCCTGCTGCCTGATACCGCTGTTGAGTCCCACTTAAAGGACTGGGCCATTTACTTGGAGAAGCATGCTGTGATTGCTGCCCAAATAATCCACTGAGCATTAGGAAGGAGATGGGGGTGAAGGATGGTATGAAGACAAGTGAAATGAGATTTTGTGTAGGTTTTTTTTTTTTCTTTATTTCATTAAGAACTTTATCTTTTATTTCCCCAAAAAGATTGTTTCAAGCCAGTAAGATAAATTCTTCTTTCTCCATTCTCTTTCAGTACCTTTATCCGTGAAGGATACAATTCCCAGATTTATAACATGATCATCCTGAGCCTAGTTTTTTTGTGACTTAGTTCTGAGGTACAATACAAAAGATAGGTAGGAGAAGGAGCTCGCTTTCTCTTTTTCTGGAAGCACGTCTGAATTTTGCTTTCAGTAGTATTCATTTATTAACGGGTGTTTTCTGCTCAAATAGGCTCCGTGCAGTTTCCTGCAGTTTCAGAACCATTGTCAGAGTTTATGAATAATACCATAGAAAGTGTTTGCTGTTTTCACATCCTCTGAGATTCATAACCTCAATCTTGCTTATCAGCTTTTCAGAAAGACTCTAAATGACTTGCTAGTAAGACAGATAATGGGCCTGGCTTTTAGGATGCCTTGGCATTGTTGGTTTTTTTTAACTTATCTTTTGCCGCCTTATTTTTGGTCACTTTTCTATTTTGAAAACACCTTTGATTTTGAAAAAGAGAAAAGCCTGTGATCCTGTGGAGCAAATCCTCTACAAACCTGTGTTTGTGCTGATTTTGCGAAATTATTTTTATGTGCAATTCACTGATGCCAAACAGTATGAATGTTTTTAATATGAAAAGGCAAGGAGCTCCTTAGTAGGCAGATAGCATAGGCTGTTGCTAAAAAGGTCTCATTCTGATTTTTCTAGAGGTTGATCAAAGCTTTGAAGTGGAATGATTTTTACTGTCCGTGATCTTCATTGAGTGTTAGTTCCTCCATCCTCAGCTGTTACAACTCTGGCTTTCCAGACCTTCTTTCAAGGGCCACCACAGTAGCTTTTACCTAAGGACCTGTTACTCTGCTAAGCTTCTGATGAGTACTGTGTATTTGGTTTGTTTGTCTTTACAGAGGGTAGCTACTTGACAGTTCAACTTGATTGCTTGACATTTGTAAAGTTGTGGGCCACTTGGTTGAACTAGATCCAAATTTATTCTGAATCTGAATTTATTCTGTGCTTCTAGGAAAACAAACCTGATGGACCTGATGTGGGATGCTAATATTAGCACAAATGCTACTCTTTGGGGAAAAGCTGTTGTTGCACAGATTTGCTTTGATGGGAATGGTCTCACCCTTCTACCACTTGCCCCTTGCCTGATGTTGCAAAATTTCCTGGGTTGTGGAGTCTCCTACAGTCTGTAGGAACTCACATTGCGCTATAAAGACACAAGATGGTTGGAGCCAGCAAGCATGGAAGGAAGCATCAGCAACAATTTTCCCTCCATTAGCATTCAGGGGAACTCAGCTGTTCTCAACAGTCTCATTACTCCATACTGAGGGTTGTAGAAGTCAGTCTTTGATAGTCACTCCTTTGGACAGGTAGAGCAGATGTGCATCAGTTGGGTAAGCCATTTGGTGTCCATTGTGTGTTGAGATCTGCTTAGGGCCTGGCCGAAGGCTGCTTCTTTGGCTACCATCAGCATTTCTGTCATTTGGATCAGAGTCAATATCCTGGCTGGCAGGAGGGACTCTGGCTATTACGATAAACAGGACAGACTGCCAGTGCAAAAAAAATGTAGTATTTCCAAAGGGTTTTGTTTTCAAACACTTGGGAGGACAGGGAAATGAAGGAAAAGATAGGCAGTTTGAAAAAACTGCTAAAGGAGATGCTCATTTCTTTATTGCTCCTCCCTGCCCCTCCGAGCCCCACTCTCTCCTGTTTGAAAGGTGGCACATACTGGATAAGGTCTGTGATCTGTATTCAGCGGGGTATGTTTGACCTGGAATTTCCCATTTGTCAAGTGATAATTCACAAAGTATTCCTGGTCCATTACCCTTAGCATCTTTTGTTGCTCAATACTTGCGTATTTACTGGAACAGAGAGTGGAAGAATAACTTAGTCACAGTAAAGAGGACCATCTCCAGGGCTGTGAGGCTCCTGAGAGCCCTTTTCTAGGAACATGCCTTAATTTTATGCAAAACTGTGAAGCTTCAATGAGAGGGATCACAATACACCTGCTCCCATTCTGCCTGTGGCTTAAATACACAATGTTTGTGGTACTCTGCTGTCCGGTGAGAATGCATGAACACCTGTAGGAGAGGAGCTTATTGAACCTGAGAATTCCAAACTTTGAGTGAATGACCTAACGCTGGAGAGAATAAACTGTATTCCCATTCAGTGTCATCCTTTTTTTTTTTTTTTTTTGTGACTCTGAACCTTTATTTCTTTTTTTCTGGTTCTGCTCACCAGAAGATGCCTGGGTTGCTTCACCCTGCTGTATTGCCTCTCCAGGCAGATGCAGAAGTTATTCAAGTCCCCTGAGAGTACCAGGGTATGCAATTGCAATGCTTTCCTTCAGGTGTCTAAAGAAGGCTTCATCTACTTCTTCTTTTTGATCAGGCAGTCAGTGGCAGATGCTTACCATTACGTTACCTGTGTTAATTGGTGCTGATCACTTAACCATCAGCAGTGACTGTTTCAGCACCAGCTGAAAGGAGACCTTCGTACATTCAAGCCACTCCTGCATAAATGTGCCTCCTTGCCTTCCCAGTCCTTCTTTCCATTCATTGCAGCACTTGGGCCATGCAAGCTGTCCCACCAAGTCTCTGTAATCCCAGTGAGATCATCGTTTTGCAACAGCACATAGACCAGTAACTCCTGTTTCTTTCATGTATGTGTTTGTGGACAGGCACTTGAGGTAAGCCACCAGTTGAGCTGCTTTCCCAGGTTAGGCATGAGAGCTTCTATCGTCCTCTCCCAGGACACCTCACAACCTCTGTTCTTCCATTTCTCTTCAGGTTGCCTCTGTTCTTCCATTTCTCTTCAGGTTGCCTCTGTTCTTCCATTTCTCTTCAGGTTATGGTGATGCTCTTGTTTTTCAAGCTTATGTTCTGCACCTTCCACACCCCGCACACTTTTTCTCCATGGGATCTTCCCAGGATCTGTGCTATTGTATCACTTTAGTGGCAAGGAAGCAAAGAGCTTTTT